TCGGAATCTTGTGCAACTGATTGGTTGGTGTCACGAAAGAAAGTTCCTACTTGTGTACGAGTTCATGCCTAATGGTAGTTTAGATTCTCATTTGTTCAAAGAAGAAAAGTTGTTAAATTGGGAAGCAAGATATAAAATTGCTCAAGGTTTGGCCTCAGGGTTGCTCTATCTACACCAAGAATGGGAACAATGTGTGCTGCACAGGGATAATAAGCGGACCTTAGTAATTATTATAACCTGGATTCTAAAGTTTGGGATTGTTGTAACTTCACTGTTGTTAACCATCCTATATATAGCAGTCTTGTCCTATGCAAGATGTCTTGTCTTTCCTAAGACTCGACGCATTGAAAAAACCTCAGTTCTACTCAATTTTCTTCAAACATTTATTAACGGCATTACCAGACCTTGGAAAGGAGGTATTAAGGAAGGAAAAAGAAATAACGCTACCATTAGTTACAATTCCACTTCAAAAAATCTGAGTGTTGCCTTCACTACCTTTGTAAGCAATACGAGTAATACACAAGTGATGAAGCATTTTTATTACATTATTGATCTGAAACAGTACTTGCCTGATTGGGTTGTTGTTGGGTTCTCTGCTTCAACGGGCGTAATTGCGGTTGTTTTACTTTGTAGAATCATCATTTAGAGCTAAGAATTAATATTTCTTGTCTCGGACATAGTTGATAATCATAACGGTTTTAGATTTCAGGTTTTAAGTATCAAAATTTTAGCCTAAAATTTGGTACTCTAAACCTAAGATTGAAGCTTTATTAAAGGATTTTATATCCTAAATTATCAGCTTTGTCCGTAAGTACTAAGTTGAATCAAAGTTGAGGAAAACTAAATAAAATGTGATGTTTTCTTTTTTTGGTCGAAGGTGATGTTTTCTTAACGCATCATCATGTCTTTGATAAAGACTGCATGTCGTGCATACCCCATACGGTGCCCTTGCTATATAGTTTTGCTTGAACAAAATTATTTGTAGATGTACAAATTCGAGAAAAATTATAGAAATTATAAGAAAAATATGAAAATTTTGATTGAAATGATTTATAACTGAAAAAGAAAAATATAGTAGGGCCCGCGTACAAAATGGCTCATATATCAAGTGGAAATTGTTGTACAGGTGCAATGTTCTTATAAATAAAATACAAACAATATAATATGTAAAGTATTGACACTACTGCATTTAATATTTTTGTCAATTAAAGCTACAAACTTGTGGTTTTAATGGTTTGTTTTTTGTCTAGTGGTTTTAATGGGTCTAATCCAATGTTCCATGTGGTAATTGTTAAATTTTAGAGAGATGGGTCAGCGACCTATTACTAGTAACACCGATATTGTCCCTAACTTAATCACCAAAGATCAATAGATGTGAGGTTTTATCTCAAAAGGCCTCAGTGATATGATTAGTTGAATCATTCATTATATATTGTATTTTAAGTGAAGTTTCTAATAAGGGACATATTTCTTCAACACGCCCCCGCACGTGGGAATCACCATATAGTGGGCCACATGTGGAGCCAAGTCCACATTGGAGTCAAACATTTAAATTCAACACGCAAACACCACGTATTAGGTAAAAGGTAAAAGCATCACCAATGGGCGGTGTATTTTCGAAGGTGTAAAGCCACTTTTACATCCCCTTTACACCTCCGGGGTGTGTAAATGTGATTTTTGCTCCAATAGAGAAGATGTAAATCCAAAGATGTATATTTTTCTTGTCTTAATTCGTTTTTTTTTTTTTTGTTAACATTATAAAATTAATTTTGTATGTTTATTTTATTTTTCCAAACAAATAGACCTAAAAATATTTAAGAGTTATTTACACTAACACCCCCTGAGGTTTTCAGTTTTTTCACAAAACTCCTTGAGGTTTTAGAAATTACACGAACACCACTTGAGGTTCTAAATTGTTTTCACAAAATTCATTTTCATTGATTTTTCATCCACAAAGATTGATGATTTTATACACAAAAAAATTATAATGACAAAGTTGGCCTTTGAGATTAGATTGCATATACTTCATTTAGGGTAATTTTTTCATTTGCATAATTTGTTTTCAGTGAAATCATCAATTTTTGGACAAACAACACAAACTTGGACAAAATATGAACCCGGAAAAAAAAATTTGCAAAATCTGAAACAAAAGTTGAACATGAAAATAAAGAAATGAAAAAAATTTCCTCTTGTAAACAATAAAAGCTACATGCCAAAACGTGGAGCCAAGTCCACATTGGAGTCAAACATTTAAACCCAACACGCGAACACCACGTATTAGGTAAAGGGTAAAAGCATCACCAGTGGGCGGTGTATTTTCGGAGGTGTAAAGCCACTTTTGCATCCCCTTTACACCTCCGGGGTGTGTAAATGTGATTTTTGCTCAAATGGAGAAGATGTA